ATGGTACATTTGAAAGGGATCTAGGAGTCTTAGTGGACCACAAATGGAACATGAGCCAATGGTGTGAAGCGGGGGCGAAAAAGGCCAGTGTGATTCTTGGCTACACCCATACGAATCTAGTATCTAGAGGGAAGTCATAATCCATGTGAAAGGGAACTAGGAGTCTAAATAAGCCACAAACTGAATATGAGTCAACAGTGTGATACAGCAGTGAAAAAGGCCAATTCGATCTAGGCTGCATCATAGTTCCATTCTATTCTGCTTTAGCCTGAAATAATCCTGGTTCAAAGCAAGTTCCAGAAGGATATGGATAGGATGGAAGATGTCCAGAGAAGGGCAATCAAAATAGTCAGAGCCCTGGAAACTATGAATCCCTGTGTGCAGTTAAAGGAAGAAAGTAGAAAAGCGAGAGATATTCTCCAGGGTTTTGTCTGAAAGGGAGGAATGGCATTCCCCCACCTTGCCTTCTCTCCAGGCCAATCAATAACAGCTTTCCAATCAATTTCGCCAGAAGAGAATGGGTCAAACGGCTGCTTGGAAAATAAAAGAAAGAGAGAGTTTTGTTTTACAGTGACCCCATACATTTCTTTGGGGTTTTCTTCGCAAGGAAGACTTGGTCCCTTCCACCGAAATAGAGCCTAAAGCACCTGGGATGCATTTGGTGGTCTCTCATCCAAGGACTCACCAGGGCTGGTCCTGCTTTGCTTCCAAGGCCACAAGGGCCGGGCTTTAGCACAGCAGATTAAACCACCAGCTGCAGAAAATCTTGCCGATCGAAAGGTCAACGGTTCAAGCCCTGGTTGGGGTGAGCTCCCGCTGTTGGCCCAGTTTCTGCTCACCTAGCAGTTCGAAAACAGCAATGTGAGTGGATAAATACGTACTGCTTTGTCGGGGAGGTAATAAAAGGCACTCATTTGGAAATGATAGGGAGAACATCAAAGGACAACAAACTCCTCAGCATGGAAGATGGAGCAACAAGAGAGGCAGCACCTCCTCGTGGCCAGAGTTGAGCACAGGCTCCAGGTGACGGAGATGGAAAAAGATGGGAAGCCTTTACCTGTTTATGTACTGTCTGTCTTTGTTAATAGATGAATGATAGCTATCAGATAGAGAGACAGATACTGGATAGATAGATAGATAGGAGAAATAGATAGATAGATAGATAGATAGATAGATAGATAGACAGATAGATAGATAGATAGATATAGATAGATGTCATGTAGATTGATACCAGGTATATAGATATCTATTTGGTAGATATATCAGAGAGCTACATATAGTATGATGTCAGATAGATTGATCAATATCAGATATCAAGTAGAGTGCTGTGAGGTCTATCTATCTATCATAGATATCAGAGAGATACATATGGAGATGTCAGATAGATAGCTAGATAGATAGATAGATATCAGCTCCATAAATAGATGTCAGATAGATAGATAGATAGATAGATAGATAGATAGATAGATAGGGAGTGTTTAGATAGATAGATAGATAGATAGATAGATATCAGATAGACAGGTATCATATAGATATCAGGTATATCGATATCTATTTGATATCAGATACATGTGATGTCAGATAGATAGATAGATAGATAGACAGACAGATACCAGGTAAATAGATATCAGATACATAGGGAGATCTCAGAAAGGTTGACAGATAGATAGGTATCACATAGATAGTTATATACAATTTTCTATTTGATAGATATCAGAGAGATAACAGAGATATTGATCAGATAGATAATAGATAAATATCAAATAGAGATAGACAGACAGACAGACAGACAGACAGATAGATAGATAGATAGATGACTCTACATGGAAGGTGTCATATAGTTAGATGAAAAAGCACTGATCCCTAGATTCGATATCTATTTGATATCTATTTGATATCAGAAACATGTGATGTCAGATAGATAGATAGATAGACAGATACCAGGTAAATAGATATCAGATACATAGGGAGATCTCAGATAGGTTGACAGATAGATAGGTATCACATATACAATTTTCTATTTGATAGATATCAGAGATATTGATCAGATAGATCATAGATAAATATCAAATAGAGATAGATAGATAGATAGATAGATAGATAGATAGATAGATTGATGACCCTACATGGAAGGTGTCATATAGTTAGATGATAAAACACTGATCCCTAGATTCGAAATCCTTCATATATCTAGATTTCTATATTCCTGGAATACCCTTTTCTTTCTTTCTTTCTTTCTTTCTTTCTTTCTTTCTCTCTCTTTCTCTCTCTTCCTCCCCCTTTTTTCTCCCTGTCTTCCCCACTCTCTCATTTTTCTCCTTTCTATTCTTTTCCTTTCCTCTCCATTCCATTCTATTTTATTCCCTTTCTCCCTCCCCTTTTTCCTTTTTTTCTTTCCCATTCCCCCTCTTACATCATTCATTTCCTTTCCCCTTTCTCTCTCCTTCAGTCGCTCTCTATTTCTTCCTCTCTTCATCCATTTCTTCCTTCTCTCCTTCCTTTTCATCCTTCCCTTCCTTTCCTTCTCTTCCTCTCCCTTTGCATATTTCCCTTCCTTTCCTTCTCTCTCTCTTTTATCCTTCCCTTCCTTTCCTCCCTTTTTTCATCCCTTCCCCTTTGTCTCTCCTTTTGTCTCTCTCTCTATCTCCCTCTACTTCTCTCTCTCTCTCTTCATCCTTCCCTTCCTTTCCTTCTCTCACTCTCTCTTTGCATACTTCCCTTCATTCTCTCTCTCTTTTATCCTTCCCTTCCTTTCCTTTCCTCCCTCTTTTCATCCCTTCCACTTCCCCTTTCTCACTGTCTCTCCTTCTGTCCCTCTCTCTCTACTTCTCTCCCTCTCCCTTTGCATATTTCCCTTCCTTTCCTTCTCTCTCTCTTTTATCCTTCCCTTCCTTTCCTTTCCTCCCTCTTTTCATCCCTTCCCCTTTGTCTCTCCTTTTGTCTCTCTCTCTCTCTTCATCCTTCCCTTCCTTTCTTTCTCTCACTCTCTCTTTGCATACTTCCCTTCATTTTCTTCTCTCTCTCTTTTATCCTTCCCTTCCCTTCCTTTCCTCCCTCTTTTCATCCCTTCCACTTCCCCTTTCTCTCTGTCTCTCCTTCTGTCCCTCTCTCTCTACTTCTCTCCCTCTCTCTTTGCATACTTCCCTTCCTTTCCTTCCCTCTCTCTTTTATCCTTCCTTTCCTTTCCTCCCTCTTTTCAACCCTTCTCCTTTCTCTCTGTATCTCCTTCTGTCCCCCTCTCTCTACTTCTCTCTCTCTTTTATCCTTCCCTTCCTTTCCTTCTCTCTCTATTCATCCTTCCCTTCCTTCCCTCCCTCTCTTTCATCCTTCCTTTATCTTCACCTTTCTCTCTCTCCTTCTGTCCTTCTCTATTTTCATCTCTTTTCACCCTTCCTTCCTTTCCCCTTTCCCCCTCTCCTTCAGTCGCTCTCTACTTCCTCTCTGTCATCCTTTTCTTCTTTCTCTTCCTTTTTATCCTTTCCTTCTCTCCCTTTCTCTTTGCATACTTCCTTTCCTTCTCTCTCTCTTTTATCCTTCCCTTCCTTTCCTCCCTCCCTCATTTCATCCTTTCCCCTTTCTCCCTGTCTCTCTGTCTCACCTTCTGTCCCTCTCGCTCTACTTCTCTCTCTCTCTCTTCATCCTTCCCTTCCTTTCCTTCTCTCCCTCTCTCTTTGCATACTTCCCTTCATTCTCTCTCTCTTTTATCCTTCCCTTCCTTTCCTTTCCTCCTTCTTTTCATCCCTTCCCCTTCCTCTCTGTCTCTCCTTCTGTCCCCCTCTACTTCTCTCTCTCTCTTCATCCTTCCTTTCCTACTTTCCCTCTCTTTCATCCTTCCTTTCCCTTCACTTTTCTCTCTCTCTCCTTCTGCCATTCTCTATTTTCATCTCTTTTCATCCTTCCTTTCTTTCCCTCCCTCTCGCTTTTCATCCTTTCTTCCCCTACCCCTCTCTCCTTCAGTCGCTCTCTACTTCCTCTCTCTTTTCATCCTTTTCTTCCTTCTCTCCCTTTTTATCCTTTCCTTCTCTCCCTCTCACTTTGCATACTTCCTTTCCTTCTCTCTCTTTTATCCTTCCTTTCTTTTCCTTTCCTTCCTCCCTCATTTCATTCCTTCCCCTTCTTCTTTCTCCCTGTCTCTCCTTCTCTCCCTCTCTCTCTACTTCTCTCTCTCTCTTCATCCTTCCCTTCCTTTCCTTCTCTCCCTCTCTCTTGGCATACTTCCCTTCCTTTTCTTCTCTCTCTCTCTTTAATCCTTCCCTTCCTTTCCTTACTCCCTCATTTCATCCCTTCCCCTTCTTCTTTCTCTCTGTCTCTCCTTCTGTCTCCCTCTCTATTTCTCTCTCTCTCTTCATCCTTCCCTCCCTTTCCTTCCCTCCCTCTCTTTCATCCTTCCTTTCTCTTCACTTTTTTTCTCTCTCTCCTTCTGCCCGTCTCTATTTTCTTCTCTTTTCATCCTTCCTTTCTTTCCCTCCCTCTCACTTTTCATCCTTCCTTCCCCTTCCCCTCTCTCATTCAGTTGCTCTCTACTTCCTCTCTCTTGTCATCCTTTTCTTCCTTCTCTCCCTTTTTATCCTTTCCTTCTCTCCCTCTCTCTTTGCATACTTCCTTTCCTTCTCTCTCTCTTTTATCCTTCCCTTCCTTTCCTTCCTCCCTCTTTTCATCCCTTCCACTTCCCCTTTCTCTCTGTCTCTCCTTCTGTCCCTCTCTCTCTACTTCTCTCCCTCTCTCTTTGCATACTTCCCTTCCTTTCCTTCCCTCTCTCTTTTATCCTTCCTTTCCTTTCCTCCCTCTTTTCAACCCTTCTCCTTTCTCTCTGTATCTCCTTCTGTCCCCCTCTCTCTACTTCTCTCTCTCTTTTATCCTTCCCTTCCTTTCCTTCTCTCTCTATTCATCCTTCCCTTCCTTCCCTCCCTCTCTTTCATCCTTCCTTTATCTTCACCTTTCTCTCTCTCCTTCTGTCGCATACTTCCTTTCCTTCTCTCTCTTTTATCCTTCCTTTCTTTTCCTTTCCTTCCTTCCTCATTTCATCCTTTCCCCTTCCTTCCTGTCTCTCCTTCTATCCCTCTCTCTCTACTTCTCTCTCTCTCTTCAACCTTCCCTTCCTTTCCTTCTCTCCCTCTCTCTTGGCATACTTCCTTTCCTTCTCTCTCTCTTTTATCCTTCCCTTCCTTTCCTCCCTCTTTTCATCCCTTCCCCTTTCTCTGTTTCTCCTCTCTCTCTACTTCTCTCTCTCTCTCTCTTCATCCTTCCCTTCCTTTCCTTCCCTCCCTCTCTTTCATCCTTCCTTTCTCTTCACTTTTCTCTCTCTCTCCTTCTGTCCTTCTCTATTTTCATCTCTTTTCATCCTTCCTTTCTTTCCTTCCCTCTCACTTTTCATCCTTCCTTCCCCTTCCCCTCTTTCCTTCAGTCGCTCTCTACTTTCTCTTTTCATTCTTTTCTTCCTTCTCTCCCTTTTTATCCTTTCCTTCTCTCCCTCTCTCTTTGGATACTTCCTTTCCTTCTCTCTCTCTTTTATCCTTCCCTTCCTTTCCTCCCTCCCTCGTTTCACCCCTTCCCCTTTCTCTCTGTCTCTCCTTCTGTCCCTCTCTCTCTCTCTCTTCATCCTTTCCTTTCCTCCTCTCTCCCCCTCCCTCTCTCCCTCCTTTCCTTATCTGCTCTGCTTGGGGACGTCTTCCCAGCAGATCAATGGAGCAGCCAGCCTGAGAGTGGCCCTATTATGGGATGGCGCCTTCCTTCCTTCCTGCTGGACCCAGGACTTTCTCTCTTTCTCTCTCTCTCTCTTTCCAGGCTCAGGGAAAGGCATCCCTCTCCCTTTCAAAGGGGAGAAAACCAGCAAGATTCGCATCAACGCTGGAAATAAATTGGCTTTTTCTTCCTTTTGCTTCCAAGGCAAACAAAGGCGCAACAATTCCATTCCTGGAGGGATGCTGATGGCTTTTTTGGGGGGGATCTCCCTCTGAAAGGCCAAACAGCTGGAACTTTGTTTCCAAAAGCAAGAGGAAAACAAATGGAGACTGTAAGAGACAGATGGAGCTGAAAGGCATAAGGTATTGATTCTGGGCTGCAGCAAGGGCTGCTCTAGTTGCTTTTGAAATATATATACACACAAATATATAAATGTATTACTCCCTCCCTCTCTCTCTATATATTTATCTCGAATCTTACAAGGAAGTTTATTTATTGAGCATTGAAAGTATAAACAAATAAGCCCAGAATGTGTGGAAACAGTAATTTTTCTATTTGTTGTCAGAACCTAGGTGAGTTTACTCAAAAGTAAACCTTTGGACATTATTATTATTATTACTACTATGACTATTACCATTATTTCTTGTCTGAAGCGCAGGATGTTTATTCTAAAGTAAACCTTCCAGGGTTGGCATTTATTATTATCAAGAGTAATTATTATTATTATTATTATTGCTAATAAATAAACAAATGTACTGTAATAATAATGTAATAATAATAAATCATATAAATGTAATATAATAATAGATAATGATAATAAATAAATGTTACATTATGATTAATATTATCATTTATTTTTTATCATTTATTATTACAATTTATTATTAATATTATATTATATGTCTGACACTAGGGCCGTTTACTCAAAAGTAAGCCTTCCAGGATTGAATGGGATATTCTTCTTCTTCTTATTATTATTCTATATTATTGTTATTTCTTTATTATTATTATTATTATTATTATTATTATTATTATTGCTAGCTGTCTGTACCTTAGGGCCATGCACTTCCGGGGTTGAATGTGACCTTATTATTAATAGTATTATTATTATTACTACTACTACTACTATTGACTGTAAGAACCTAGTATTATTTATTCAGTCTAAAGTAAACCTTCTGAGGTTGAATGCATCATCATCATCATTTGATTTATTTACTTATTATTATTCAAAACTAAGCCTTCCAGGGTTGAATGGGATATTATTATTATTGATAATAATATTATTATTGTGTTGTAGAAGGCTTTCATGGCCGGAATCACTGGGTTGCTGTGAGTTTTCTGGGCTGTATGGCCATGTTCCAGAAGCATTCTCTCCTGACCTTTCACCCACATCTATGGCAGGCATCCTCCGAAGTTGTGAGGCCTGTTGGAAACTAGGCAAGTGGGCTTTATATATCTGGAATAATGTCCAGAGTTAGAGAAATAACTCTTGATTCCCAGAAACACCAATTATTATTATTATTATTATTATTATTATTATTATTTTATTATTATTATTGATTTATTATTATTATTATTATTATTATTATTATTAGCTTCTGAACCTAGGGGTGCTTACTCAAAAGTAAGCCTTCCAGTGTTGAATGGGACATTATTATTATTACATTTATTTACTACCCTTATTTATTATCACCATCACCATCATTATATTACATTTATTTATTTATTATCAATAATAATAATAACAATAACAATAATATTCTATGTGAACCTAGGTGTGTTTACTCAAAAGTAAGCCTTCCAGGATTAAATAAAAAGTTAAAGGTTTTTCCTTGACATTAAGTCTAGTCATGTCCAACTCTGGGGGCTGGAGCTCATCTCCATTTCTAAGCCGAAGAGCCGGTGTTGTCCGTAGACACCTCCAAGGTCATGTGGCCAGCTTGGGAAAATGGACGGAAAAAGGAAGAGGGGCCGACCAAGGGCAAGATTTATTTATTTATTTCATATCAAAAGCATTGCATAAATTAGTATAAAACTGATAAAAATAGAAGGAGCGCAGGCGGCTAAATATCTTTTGACCAAAAACGGGCAACAGCAATGGCATTGTCTGTAGCCTCTAACAATTCTTCCTCTGAACATGAGGCAGGGCACGATGGACAAGCATACAGATGCAGAGTTGTCTATTCTGCTCCACAGTCACACAAGGCATGAAATTCTTTTAGGTAGTGCCATTTTGCCAGGTTGTCTTTTGATCTGCCCGCTCCGCTTCTGAGTCTGTTCAGGGACTTTCAAGTTGCCCATTCTTGGTTTGTCCCTGGAGGAAGACCCTCGCGGGGGGGGGGGCATCCAGTTGGGATTTCCTGGTTTAGCTGCCCAGAGGGATACCCTTGCTGTTGCTGAGGGGACACCAAGAGGAGTGGTAGTTCTCATAAAGCTTTTCCTTGATTTGAGTCTACTGGGTGGAGGCTGGTAGCCATGTAGTGGATGGCTTTCACAGGGCAAGATGGGTGGGTGGTATCCTTGAAGTGACTGGCTTGACTCTGAAGGAGTTGGGGGTGGTGACGGCCGACAGGGAGCTCTGGCATGGACTGGTCCATGAGGTCACGAAGAGTTGGAAGTGACTGAACCAATAAAACAATGTAGACTTTCCACAGCTGCATTGTATATGGTAGACTCCTGCAGAGGTGAGGAGATCCTTCTTGTCCTTTGCTGAACGGAGCATTGTTGGATTTTCTTACGGCCCTTCCACACAGCCCTATATCCCAGAATATCAAGGCAGAAGACCTAACATTATCCGTAGTGGGTCTGTAGATAGTTTGTAGGTTGTGTGTCTTTCTCAGCTTCCCTCTGCGGTCGGTGGTTCCCTTGATATATGCAGGGCCGGCCCTAGGTAATTTTCAAGTGTAAGCAAACAGTATTTTGGCACCCCCCCCCCCCAAACCAATCACTGAAAAATAAAAGGTAGAAGGTGACGCAGCTGAATAAAATCCCACATTTTCCGCTTTGAACTGGGATATATGGCAGTGTGAATCCAGGGCCCTTCCACACAGCACTATATCTCAGAATATCAAGGCAGAAAATCCCACATTATCTGAGTGTGGACCCAGTTCAAAGCAGATATTGTGGGATTTTCTGCCTTGATATTCTGGGATATAGGGCTGTGTGGAAGGGCCCTCAGATAACCCACTTCAAAGCACCTTTTTGCTCACAGACTCGCAAACCTCATTAGGCTCACTTTAAACTAGGTCCACCGGGGGAGGGGGACATCAGCCTTGCAAACAGTACTTTACCCACAATGTCAGGGAATCGCCAGAACGCTAAAAGGAGGGCTGCACAAACACAGTGACGACCAAGTACCAAAAGCACAATAATCCCAAATAAACAGCTCAGGGGAAGATCTCAGGGGCTCACATGTCTTTACACTAATGCACAGAGCATGGGAAATAAACAAGACAAACTCCAACTTTTAGCACAACACCACAAATATGATGTCATAGGCATCACTGAAACCTGGTGGGATGACTCCTATCACTGGATTGTAGACATTGAGGCCTATAACCTCTTTCACAGAAACCAAAAAGGGGGAGGCGGAGTAGCCTTATATGTCAAAAACTGTTACGCTGCAGAAGAGATGCAAGACAGCAATCCGGGAAACCAGCTTGAAAGGGAACTGCGACTCAAAAAGATCTCGTTGTAAGTGTGTACTACAGACCTCCAAGCCAGGATGAAGAACTTGACAAAGTCTTCTGCCAACAGTTGACCAAACAGGCACAAAGAAGAGATATAGTAGTTATGGGTGATTTCAACTATCCCGATATTTGCTGGAAAACAAACTCGGCCAAGAGTACAAAGTCCAATAAATTCCTCGCTTGCCTTGCAGACAATTTCATGGTTCAGAAGGTAGAAGAGGCAACAAGGGGGTCGGCTACTCTCGATCTCATCCTAACAAATGAGGAGGACCTGATCGATGCAGTTGAAGTGGTCAGATCCTTAGGGGCAAGGTACAAAGGAAGGCCGAAACCAAGACAAGTCAAACCCGCATTTTGGACTTTAGGAGAGCTGACTTCTGAAAAATGAAGGAAATAATGAGCAGCATTCCATGGACACAGATACTAAAAGACAACGGAGTTACTGATGGATGGGAGTTTTTCAAGAGTGAAATACTCAAGACGCAATTGCAAACAGTGCCAAAAAAGAGAAAAAATAGGACAAGTGCAAAGAAGCCAGAATGGATGTCCAAAGAACTTCTAAATGTGCTAAGACACAAAAGAGACGTGCACAAGAAGTGGAAAAAGGGAGAAATCACCAAAGAAGAATTCAAACAAATAGCCAACTCCTGTAGAGAAAAGGTCCGCAAGGCTAAAGCACAAAATGAACTCAGGCTTGCCAGGGAAATTAAAAATAAAAGGGCTTCTTTTCTTATGTCAGTAGAAAAAGGAAGAACAAGGAGGAGATAGGGCCTCTTCGAGGGACAGGGGATAGGAAAAAGGCAGAACTACTTCATGCCTTCTTTGCCTTGGTCTTCTTACAAAAAGAAAGTCATCTCCAACCGTAGCAAGATGAAGTGAATGAGGGATTAGAGGACATCAAACCCCAAACTGGGAAACAAGTCGTCCAGGAATACCTGGCCGTCTAAATGAGTTCAGGTTCTCAGGGCCGGATCAACTACACCCAAGAGTACTGAAGGAACTAGCGGAAGTCATCTCGGAACCATTGGCAATCACCTTTGAGAGTTCTTGGAGAACGGGAAAAGTTCCAGCAGATTGGAGGAGGGCAAATGTGGTCCCAATCTTCAAGAAGGGAAAAAAGGATGACCCAAACAACTACCTTCCGGTCAGCCTCATGCCGATACCAGGCAAGATTCTGGAAAAGATTGTTAAGGAAGTGGTCTGCAAACACTTAGAAACAAATGAGGTCATTGCTAATAGTCAACACGGATTTATCAAAAACAAGTCATGCCAGACTAATCTGATCTCTCTTTTTTTGATAGCGTTACAAGCTGGGTAGATGCGGGGAATGCCGTGGATGTAGTGTATCTGGATTTCAGTAAGGCCTTCGACAAGGTCCCCCACGACCTTCTGGCAAACAAACCAGTCCAGTGTGGGCTAGGCAAAACTACGATTAGGTGGATCAGTAATTGGTTAAATGGACGAACCCAGAGGGTGCTCACCAATGCTTCCTCTTCATCCTGGACAAGTGTCAAGTGGAGTGCCGCAGGGTTCCGTCCTGGGCCCGGTCCTGTTCAACATCTTTATTAATGACTTAGATGAAGGGTTAGAAGGCAGGATCATCAAGTTTGCAGACGACACCAAATTGGGAGGGATAGCCAATACTCCAGAAAACAGGAGCAGAATTCAAAACG